AACTACAATACTTAAAAATCGCAAGATTACACATTTTAGTGATTTTTTTAAAGGAACACCAATGAATTGTTTACCTCTTCTATCATTTAATTATTTCCACACAAAAATTATAAAGGTAAGAGTGTTTTTATATTTTCCTTTTATGCATAATCAAACACGTGACCATTTTCATTTGGGTGTATTAGACTACAGTACTGTACTACATCATTGTACTACTTACTCTCACAAAGAAGTGGTGCGCACGCCTCTGCTGGTTTCGCTTGGGGTCCTCCGTTGGGAACACGTGCGTTAATTTCCGCTTGGGGTCCTCCCTTAGGATATGATATGGATATATGCTCTGTTCTATTATGATATCTGCTATATGTTGTATTTGTATACTCTGTATCTGACTTTCATGCCGGAGTTTGCCAGGGGTATGGACAATTCTCTATAATCGTGGAGCTTATTGAGATTTGTAATCTCACCCCTCTTTGGGGACATATTTTCAGGTTCCCAGATTCCCAGTGAGCCCTCATTAAGGAGGGACGCGACACGTGGCTGAGACATTCGACGGACCGGATTTTGAGTGGCTGTAGGCTACTACCTTTTTGGAGTATATCGATGTAGTTTATATTTTCGCTGTTTTGAGGATCATGATGCTTGATCTTTCACTCTGTATATGGCCTGTAAGTGTTTCGTACATGTTCTTCAGTTTGATGCATGTACACTTTGGTATTCAGGCATGTTGATATGACTATGTAGTATTCAGTTATATTTATGTATTGGATTGCATGCTATTAGATTAGCGGCACTGAGCCAAGTTATGCATGCGCCCATGGATGGACATCTGATTATATTTGCATGACTCGTACTTTTGGATTGATGTGCTGTATAAACTGTTTATCAGGAAATGCTTTTGAGTGGGATTAGAAAATCCCCAATTGTCCGATTTATAGAGGAAACTCTGCCAGATTTTTCGTTTATGCTAAGTAAGAATTTAAAAAGAAAAAGAAAAAGTTAGCTAGCATTTCGTAAGTTAAGTCTTCCGTTGTTTCTGTTTTTATCATATGTATGTTAATTAAACCGGCTCGAGACGAGGATGTTACAACCCGCACATTTATTTTTTTATCCACTCTCTCTACCTTTATCTATCTCTTTCACTCACTTAAAATGACACAACTTTACATCCTTTAAAATGATATACATTTTTCCCTTTAATAAAATCACAATTCTTCAAAATCGCAAGATTACACATTTTTAGTGATTTTTTTTAAGGAACACCAATTAATTGTTTACCTCTTCTATCTATTAATTATCTCCAAAATAAAAATAAAAATAAAGATAAGAATGTTTTTAAATTTTCCTTTTATGCCTAAACAAACACGTGACCATTTTCAAGTGGATGTACTAGACTAGAGTATTGTACTACATCATTGTACTACTTACTCTCACAAAGAAGTGGACCCACACTTTTATTTTTTTGTCCACTCTCTCCCTTTATCTATCTCTTTCTCTCACTTAAAATGACACAACTTTACACCCTTTAAAATGATATACATTTTTCCCTTAAACAAAACCACAATTCTTCAAAATCGCAAGACTACATATTTTTAATGATTTTTTTTAAAGAACACCATTGAATTGTTTACCTTTTCTATCATTAAATTATCTCAAAAAAAAAATATATTGATAAGAGTGCTTTTATATTTTCCTTTTATACATAAACAAACACGTGACCATTTTCCTATGGATGTACTCGACCAGAGTACTATAATATATCATTGTACTACTTACTCTCACAAAGAAGTGGACCGACACTTTTATTTTTTTGTCCACTCTCTCCCCCTTTATCTATCGCATTCTCTCACTTAAAATGACAAAACTTTACACCTTTTAAAATGATATACATTTTTCTCTTAAACAAAACCACAATTCTTCAAAATCGCAAGATTACACATTTTTAGTGATTTTTTTTAAGGAACACCAATTAATTGTTTACCTCTTCTATCTTTTAATTATCTCCAAAATAAAAATAAAAATAAAGATACGAGTGTTTTTAAATTTTCCTTTTATGCCTAAACAAACACGTGACCATTTTCATGTGGATGTACTAGACTAGAGTACTGTACTACATCATTGTACTACTTACTCTAACAAAGAAGTGGACCCACACTTTTATTTTTTTGTCCACTCTCTCCCCATTTATCTATCTCTTTCTCTCACTTAAAATGACACAACTTTACACCCTTTAAAATGATATACATTTTTCCCTTAAACAAAACCACAATTCTTCAAAATCGCAAGATTACATATTTTTAATGATTTTTTTTTAAGGAACACCATTGAATTGTTTACCTCTTCGATCATTATATTATCTCAAAAAAAAAATAATATAATGATAAGAGTGCTTTTATATTTTTCTTTTATACATAAACAAACACGTGACCATTTTCCTGTGGATGTACTCGATCAGAGTACTGTACTATATCATTGTACTACTTACTCTCACAAAGAAGTGGATCGACACTTTTATTTTTTTGTCCACTCTCTCCCCATTTATCTATCTTATTCTCTCAGTTAAAATGACACAACTTTACACCCTTTAAAATGATATACATTTTCCCTTAAACAAACCACAATTCTTCAAAATCGCAATATTACACATTTTTAGTGATTTTTTTAAGGAACACCAATTAATTGTTTACATCTTCTATCTTTTAATTATCTCCAAAAAATAAAAAATATAAAGGTAAGAGTGTTTTTATATTTTCGTTTTATGCTTAAACAAACACGTGACCATTTTCATGTGGATGTACTAGACTAGAGTACTGTAATATATCATTGTATTACTTACTCTCAGAAAGAAGTGGACCCACACTTTTATTTTTTTGTCCACTCTCTCCCCCTTTATCTGTCTCTTTCTCTAACTTAAAATGACATAACTTTACATCATTTAAAATGATATACATTTTCCCTTAAACAAAACTACAATACTTAAAAATTGCAAGATTACACATTTTAGTGATTTTTTTAAAGGAACACCAATGAATTGTTTACCTCTTCTATCATTTAATTATCTCCAAAAAAAAATTTATAAAGGTAAGAATGTTTTTATATTTTACTTTTATGCATAATCAAACGCGTGACCATTTTCATTTGGGTGTATTAGACTACAGTATTGTACTACATCATTGTACTACTTACTCTCACAAAGAAGTGAACCTGCACTTTTATTTTTTTATCCACTCTCTCTCCCTTTATTTATCTCTTTCTCTCACTTAAAATGACACAACTTTATATCCTTTAAAATGATATACATTTTTCCCTTTAACAAAATCACAATTCTTCAAAATCGCAAGATTACACATTTTTAGTGATTTTTTTTAAGGAACACCAATTAATTGTTTACCTCTTCTATCTTTTAATTATCTCCAAAAAATAAAAAAAAATAAAGATAAGAGTGTTTTTAAATTTTCCTTTTATGTCTAAACAAACACACGACCATTTTGATGTGGATGTACTAGACTAGAGTATTGTATTACATCATTGTACTACTTACTCTCACAAAGAAGTGGACCCACACGTTTATTTTTTTTGTCCACTCTCTTCCCCTTTATCTATCTTTTTCTCTCACTTAAAATGACACAACTTTACACCCTTTAAAATGATATACATTTTTCCCTTAAACAAAACCACAATTCTTCATAATCGCAAGATTACATATTTTTAATGATTTTTTTTAAGGAACATCATTGAATTGTTTACCTCTTCTATCATTTAATTATCTCCAAAAAAATAAAAAATATAAAGGTAAGAGTGTTTTTATATTTTCCTATTATGCATAAACAAACACGTGACCATTTTTGTGTGGATGTACTAGACAAGAGTACTGTACTACATCATTGTACTACTTAGTCTAAAAAAGAAGTGGACCCCACACTTATATTTTTTTGTCCACTCCCTCCCCTTTTATCTATTTCTTTCTCTCACTTAAAATGATACAACTTTACATCCTTTAAAATGATATCCATTTTCCCCTCAAACAAAATCACAATACTTCAAAATCACAAGATTACACATTTTTAGTGATTTTTTTAAAGGAACACCAATGAATTGTTTACCTCTTCTATCATTTAATTATCTCCATAAAAATAAAAAATATAAAGATAAAAGTATTTTTATATTTTTCTTTAATGCATAAACAAACACGTGACCATTTTCATGTGAATGTACTAGACTAGAGTACTGTACTACATCATTGTACTACTTACTCTCACAAAGAAGTGGACCCACACTATTATTTTTTTGTCCACTCTCTCCCCCTTTATCTTTCTTTTTCTCTCACTTAAAATGACTCAACTTTACATGCTTTAAAATGATATACTTTTTGCCCTTAAACAAAACCACAATTCTTCAAAATCGTAAAATTTCACATTTTTAGTGATTTGTTTTTAAGAAACACCAATGAATTGTTTACCTCTTCTATCATTTTATTATCTCCAAAAAAATATATATATATATAAAGATAAGAGTGTTTTTATATTTTCCTTTTATGCATAAACAAATACGTGACCATTTTATGTGGTTGTACTACACTAGGGTACTGTACTGCAACATTGTACTATCTTTTGTGCTACTACTTTTTATTTCAATTTTCTTTCTTTCTCAATTCCATCTTTTCTTCTGCCAAATTTCTTAACCACTCTTAGGTACGTTACATTAAGTCTCGCTCTAAATTCTTTTCAAGTTCTTCTTGATATATCTAAAACCTAATGTTGTTATTGGCTTGTGAATTCTTCTTACTTTTTTAAAACCTTTATGAAAAATGGGTTTTGATTGACTCTAGGATTTATTTTTCATTAGATTTTGTGAAATAGGATCTTGGAAATATTTATCGCAGATACCAAACTTGCTCCCCATGATATCTAGTATCAATTGATCTTCTTTGTTTCCTTTCAGCGGTTGAGTGTGAGGTTGTTTTATGTATGGAGTTATGAGCGCTTTTGTTTTTTGTTTTTTCTAATCTTCATCGTTTCGTAGTTTTATATGAATTTTTTTCTATCTAATGTTGTCTAAGGGGTTTTACGTCATTTGAATTTTTTTAAGTATTATGTTGCTATTGTTTTGCTTTTATGTAATAGTATGTAGGGGTGTTTGCGGTCTAGATTGGATCAGTTTTTGGATCAAAATTCATTTGATCCAATCTCTTTTGATTATGTAATCATCCATTCGGTTTAGATTTGTTTTTCAAATCCGATCCGATCTAATCCAATATTTTTTGGTTTGGTTTGGATAATTTTCGGTTTTTAGAAAATCCTAAAAAAATTCATGATTATTGTGCAAATAACATCTTTGGTATATATTGGCTTTGCAATTTTATTTTATTTTTTTGAAATACAAAAGCATCGATAGTAGAGTTTTTTTTTTTACAATGAGATATGAAGCTCTACAGATGAAATTTTATTGACGAATGTGACTAGATTTTTTCTTGGGTTTTGTTGATGGGTTAATGGATCTTGAGTTTAGAAATTTTTGGGCTATGATTGGGGAAATGCCCAAGTAGGTAGAGAAAAATTAATATATTGGATCGATTTTCTTCAACCAATCCAAAAACCGATCCAATCCAATTAAAATTTGCGATATTTTTTCGGTTTTTTATTTTCAGTCGGTTCAGCCTCCGCGATTTGAATCGGTTTGGATTGGTTGATGAACCCCGTATGAATGTACATGGTTTGCGGCTTTGTGCTGTTATTATTTATAGCCTAGGCTATTTTTGTTCTAAGGTTTGTTGTTAGAGTTGATCATAAATGACGATGAAGAAAATTGTCATTTTGTCTTGTTATTTACTTTTGTAAAAAGTATGGAATCTAATTTTGTATTTATCTCGTGCATGCATTTGCTTAGTTGTATTTATATTTATTTGCACTCACTTATGCCTAACATCGTCCTATTTTTGGTTGATTTTGTTGTTTCATTTATTGCAATTGTCATTGTATTTCCTCTTAGATATTTTTATGCCGATTATTTCTTAGGCAAATGCGAGCCTATGGAGAAGAGGCAACACTCCTTTTAAGAGCTTGTGCATATATTATCATTGACCGGAAGAATGTTCCTATTAACTGCCAAAGTTGGGCAAACATACTTAAATCATACAAGCAAGATTGCTACAACATTTTGAAGGTATATGCATTCACCAAGTGTTGATAAATTTTAATGTCTTTTGCATGTAATTCTTGGATTTTCTAGTTAGGAACTATTACTTTTGTGTATTGACAAGTTATTGTACTAAAATTAATATCTTTGTGAGATGATTCTAATTAATTTGCAGGCCCCAAACACAATTGCTGTGCATCATTGTCTATTTTTCATGGGGAGAAAGTACAGGAGCAACAAAATAAAGTTTTGGGATTCAAATTTTAAACCTTCTTCATGCACCGGAGACCTAGTTATTACTAATATTCCTTGTGGTTTGCTTGAATATCAATGGTCGTCGTTTGTTGACTATCATTTGTGGTCAAATTATCAGGTAATTGTACAATATTTTATTTAATTGTAATTGTATCTTAAAGCTGAATTTTTTTGTTAATACCTTGTATTTTGGACTTAGATATATATATATATTAATATAACAGGAATTAAATCCGGGACATGACGAGGATCGAAGTAAATTATACATTACAACTCACAAGAAAAAAAGATGTCTCTTAGGGAAAACAATTCTAAAGGTAAGTTACGTTAAATTGATGTTTTACTAGAATACTTCTACTTGGAGTAGTTTTTACGCATAATTTGTAACTAGTATCATACTATGACATCTAGTATGATAGTAGTTACATTTGGATTTGAAATTTTTTATCTTGGCTTGCTTTTACTGATGTAAAAGGTCAGATTTTTGTTCATCTGCTGTTTCTGTTTGGCACTTAATATGGATTTTTGGCTGTGATAGGGGCGTTTTGAGATGTTGTCCCTATCAGGCTCTTTTATGCTTTCAGAGAGTAGCGGCTCAAGCACTGATGGTCGTGTCATTGGGGGAGTAGTTGCTGGTGTGCTTATTGCAGCAAGTCCTGGAGGAGCATACACAGGACAAACTCTTACTCCACTTGGCCACTGTACTTGCCATTGGAACCGAGTGACATCGGTAACCTCTTTCTCTTCACCCTTCACACTTCTCTCTCTCTCTATCTGTAACCAAGTTGGTTCTATATATTATTTATCTTCTAAGTTTTTTTTTTTCTTTTAATATATGTATCAAATTGGATGTGGTATTCAGTTTGGAAAGAAAATTTAGTTTTGGGGTTGTGACTTGTGATTCATGATAATAAGATGTCTTCTTCTATGAAAATAGTGTATTGTAGTTTTTGGGAAGCAAACATTTAATAGATTTCCAATTTGCATTTTTAGTGCTGTCATAACATTATATTATATCTTGAAATCACATCTCTCATTCGGTCACTCCCACATGGTACAATCAAAAGTTTCCAGCTATGTACTACATTTAAAATTTTTGAGATTTTAGATCTGCTCTCATTTCCCTAGTTTTCTTTTGGATGGCTTTCAGTTATTTAATTTGTGCTGACAATTTTTTTCACTTTTGCATCTAGCATTGAGTAGACCTCATATAATAACTTTTATAACTCTACCGTATCTTTTATTTCATTTATTTGGAAAGAATCACAAAAACTTTTTGAATTATGGATACAAGAATTCAAACTCAATACGTAATTTTCGCATTCAAAAAATTTTCTTGAATAATTTTTTTTTTCAGTTATTAAATCCCCTTTTTTACCAAGTTCAATATTAATAAGATTAATAAATCTTTACATGTTTCGAAGTAACAATAGAACCTTTAGTGCTATTTATGTTTTCTTATAAATCGTTTTCCTATTAGAAACAAGATTGACGTATGAAGAAATCTTTTAGATTTATATGCCATTTCTGGTTTAACCACTTCCAACAAGTCGCTAGACCTTGTTGATGTGGAAGGCACTCTTGCCATTATGAATATGAGAACTAGTGATCGTTTCAACAGATTTCCGATTGTATTCCTTGAGTTATTATGATACTACATTTTTATGATATATTTTCAGTACATTTACGTTGAGTAACCCTCTTCCTCTGTATGTAACTTTGAGAAGTAGATGTTATTATTTCATGGTTTGAAAATTATGTGGGTCTAGAGTCAATGTTTTGCAAGCTACTAGGGTTAGCCTAATAGCGAGGGGTGTGAGGAGATATGTTAGGTGGTGTGTGTTCTAATCCTTCCTTATGTATTTAAAAAAAAAAATATTATGCTAAATAAATTTTCCGTATAATGCTAAATTAATTTGGCATATTTTGATATTTTCGTGGATTACTTTATCTAATATCTGAATTGAATCATGGAATCCATTACAATTGATATCCGGATTTGTGGGTGGAAAATGTACCTAAAAGATCGCTCTTCCCTTTTACTCAAAATGTTCTCATATAACAATTTATGTATATCTATGCTGATCACTGTGCTTTGAGGCTTTAGTCAATAAATGGCATTGCTATCTGATCCCATACATACCCATCTATACATATCATAGCTCATAATCAACATGTGAACTCGTATACAATGTATAAGTGTAAACAAGTGAGGCAATGATGCAATTTCTTCTGTTTTATTAGTAATACACAAGTAAGAGATTACAGATTCAAAGCTTAATTGCTAATTTCTCATATGATGCAGACAAATGAAGCAAATTCGGCTGACTCTGAGGCTGCAGTAAAATTTAAATATAGATCAAGAGATGCATCTATCTTATGGGATGTCCCTTGCAAACTGTACCTATCTTAGAGTCCAGTAGTAGAATTCACTTCAAGACCCCTACAATTATTTGCAATCCTGGGATTCCAACAACAAAACAGAAGGATATGTATATATGCAAATTAACTGGGGGAGAATAATGAGAAAAGAGTCTTAAATCTCAAACTTTCAAACATGGGATTCAAGGGTTAGTTTCCTCGCCGCATTCAGAATTGCTCAAGCTTAACAGCATTAGATCCTTCAATTAACAGACTCTCTCAAGCCCTTCCAGAAGATATATCTACCCTTCTTCAGTTTGTGACATCCCTTGATCTATCTTCAATATATGCATAATTCAATATTTGTTTTTCGTATAGTAAAAAATAAAATTATCTCGTACACACACATAAAAATGTATTGGACCTATATGGGGTCATATGAAGAAAATAAAAAGAGAAAATAAAATAGTTGTTTTACGTATTGTAGAAAATAAAATTATCTCATATACATATATAAACATGTATCGGACCTATATGGGGCCATATGAAGAAAAGAGAAAGAAAAAAAATAAATAGATTTCACATATTTTTATGTATATATAAGAAATAAAGTTATCTCTTTTAATATGAGAGAAATTAAAGTCATAAATAAAAAAAGCCTCATGATTACAGTTGTTTGTTGTATGGATATTATTTCACAAGTCTTCATGTGGTCATTTTACCCTTTCTAAAATTATGCACGAAACAATTGGGAATCCTGATGCATATTTTTAAAAAATATATATTCTAGTTCAGGAAAAAAAAAGTTGCTTGAAACTTGATAACTTACATCTTACGTCAGCAAAGACGGGACCATCATCTAAAAAAATAGCGTAATTCTTCCCTCCATTTGTTGTATGTTCCAATCATTACATATAATATATATAGTAGAATTTTATTTTACAATGCTATTTGAAAATAATATAATATCACTTGTTTAAATATACTTATTTACTTGAAACATTCAGGGAAGAGAGAACTTTCAGGCCCCAATCCCGATCAACAATTGCGTGGATAAGATCTAGCTGCTATATGTAAAGAATTTTGAGGTCATCACCCCAAAAGTTAGCTTAAGGGGTGGGAGTGTTCAAGGCCTTATAAAGGTCATATTAGTTGCTCATCTAATAAATGTGGGACTATATATCTCAACACGCCCCCTCACGCAAGAGCCCTTCAGGCTAGAAGGGTGGAAATTGCACAGACCTATTTTTGGTTTACCTTTTTGTGTTTTTATTTTTATTTTAATTACACTTTTTAAAGCGGGGGACGGTGAGGCTCTGATACCATGTTAAGAACCTTGAGGTCACCACCCCAAAAGCTAGCTCAAGAGGTGGGAGTGTCCAAGGCCTTATAAAGGCCATATTAGTTTCCCATTCAATCAATGTGGGACTATATATCTCAACACGCCCCCTCATGCAAGAGCCTTCAGGCTAGAAGCGTGGAAATTGCACAGACCCATTTTTGGTTTACCTTTTTGTGCTTTTTTTTTATTTTAATTCCACTTTTTAAAAAGCTAGCTCAAGAGGTGGGAGTGTCCAAGGCCTTATAAAGGCCATATTAGTTTCCCATCCAATCAATGTGGGACTATATATCTCAACACGCCCCCTCATGCAAGAGCCTTCAGGCTAGAAGCGTGGAAATTGCACAGACCCATTTTTGGTTTACCTTTTTGTGCTTTTTTTTATTTTAATTCCACTTTTTAAAGCGGGGGACGGTGAGGCTCTGATACCATGTAAAGAACCTTGAGGTCACCACCCCAAAAGCTAGCTCAAAGGGTGGGAGTGCTCAAGGCCTTATAAAGGCCATATTAATTGCCCATCCAATCAATGTGGAACTATATATCTCAAACACTATATCCTATAGGAGCGATATTTATGTGCTCTGAGTGCAAAAAAAAAAATTTGGTGGGGCAAAAAATTTGATGCGGCGCAAGTGAGAGAAAGAGAGAAAAAATTGAGGAGAGAGAGAGGAAGGAAGAAAAAAAAACTATTTAAATGTCAAATTTGTAGTGGAAGTACCATAGTAATCTTAAGGTATATTAAAAAATTCTCAGATCCACACAAGAAGTTCAATTACTGTTAATACTTAGCAGGGATTATCATTATTTCTGTTTTGGTAGAAAAAAAATTTATGAAACATAAAATAATGAGAGAAAATATAGAGGAATGAGATATAAAACAATAACGGGGTCCATTCGTTTTATGTCTCGGCAGAAATGATAATCCCTACTTAATATGTTATAAGTTAGGGAAAATTATTTATACTTTTAAAAGATGTAAGTTATATTCTTTTAATTTTTAACACTATGTATTATGGGTAGTATTTAGTTATAATAATATGGAAAAAAAAAATTCTCTTCCCAATCACATCAATTGATGTGGAAAATGAAAAGAAGTAATTTTTCATGTTATAATTATGTATTATCTGTATATATAGTGTTAAAAATTAAAAGGATGTAACTTACATCCTTTAAATGATAAACTTAAACGAAATTCTCAATTATAAATTTATGATATATTAAATATATATAAAAATAATTATGTCAAACCAAATTTAGATTTGGGGATGTGGAGATGGGAATTGGGAAGGATCTATAGAAGTCCAATATCTGTTGATCCCCCAGTTGCACGAATCCCTGGGCATAATTTAGGCACTAGCTAGTTTTTAATTTTTCAATATCAATCTCGACACCTATGGCATGTACGTATGAAAATGGCATCTTATAGAGCACAAATATCCTTATGTCAACATTGGCAAAGCAAAGAAGTCTGTTGATATTTTAATTGTTTAAAATAAAAAAACTCAGTAAATCACTTATTAAAGTTAGAAATGTACTTACTAAGATTTGAAAAAGTGATTTATTTAACTACATCTACTTTTGTAAACTCTTTCGCGTTTAATGCCATATAGTTTTACGTGTTCTTGCTTTTAACAAAAAATAGTACTTAATTAGTTGACAAATATTCAATATTTGATCAGTAAAGGGACCAAGATGCCATCTTCAAACATGGAAAAAGCCAATGAAAGTTTACTTGCTTAAGGTGTGGACAAATTAGTCGTCGAGCCATGTAAATGGATTTTAGAGAAAAAGACAACCAATTTTGAAAAGGATTTTGGGATCTAATATATGATTAATAGAATAAAAATAATAGCTATATTATGAAAGAATCAATACTTCAACTCTGATGGAATGAAATACTGCGTAAGATTTGAAAAACATAATAGAGCTTCGTGACTTAAAAATATTTTTTTTTTTTGTAATAAAGAGGGGCAAAAGCCCCAAACAAAACAAAAATTACACGACGCGAGAACTTAAAAGATCTACAGAAACATCCTGAAGAAGGAGCTCTAACAAAGGAGAAGGAGGAGAATGATAAACAATAAGATTATTATCATCCTCAAAATGCCTAGAAGCAAACCAGTGAGCACATCTGTTATTTTCTCGAAAAGTGTGGACCCAACGAACATCCCAATCTTCAGCAAGCCATTTGTGAATACGGGAAACAACCTGAGAGTTTCTGTGATTATTGCTCCCTTCTTGGATAGTGCTAAGAGCAATTTCTGAGTCACATTCCAACTCCACTCTCCTAGCACCAGTACCCCAGGCCAGCTCTAAGCCTTTGAGGATACCCCAGAGTTCTGCATCAAGAGGATTACAGAAACCTAATCTGAAAGAGAAACCACCCAGAAAAGCACCATTGTGATCTCTAGCAAGGCCTCCACAGCTAGCATGCTGCCTAGATAAGGAAGAAGCACCATCTGTGTTAATCTTCAACCGACCAGGTTCAGGACGACACCATTTAGTAGGCTGATGGGCATTAGGGAAACTGCCAAGAATGCTTCTATTCTTACCTCTAGCTTCAATTAAATGCGCAATAAAATCAGAAATGACACGCTTATCATTGCTTGGCCTTCGAAAACTATCATCATGAATATGATGATTACGCCAATTCCAAAGATTCCAGCTAGTATAGAAAACATCTCTCCAATCAACATGAATTTGATAATTCCAACCCTTACTCACATTTTTGATGAGCCAAGGCTGTAGGTCTAATGTGAAGAAATCGTTGGGGACCCTTCTACCAAACCAATCTATCCACAATCTTTTGGCTTGAGAACAATCTCTAAGGACATGAATAAGAGTTTCTTCACTGTTTGGACAGTTAATGCAAAAATTAGGACCCCCATTCCATTTGCATGTACGACTCCTAACTGGAAGCTTATTAAGAAAAGCCAGCCACATCATAGTCTTGATTCTTTCTGGACCCTTCCAGTCCCAAATCTTCTTCCAGGGAACATTCCTTTGAGCATGTTGAAAATTCATCAAGTTCAAGTAGGCAACCTTAACTAAGGAAGATGACACATGATTCTGACACCAAACTAACTTATCCTTAGTATTATCTTCCAAAGCAACAGGAACGCAAAACACCTTAGAGATTAGCTCATCATTTAAGAATTGCTTCAAATATTGAACATCCCAGGTACCATGCTGAAAGATCTCAGCAATGGTTCTATGCAATTCCAGATCAGGAATGTGATTAGGAGCTAAATTACAAAGATTATCATCCAGATTCAACCAATTATCTGCCCAGAATTTAATAGTCTCTCCATCACCCACCTCCCATCGAAGACCGGCTAAAAAACTGTTCCAACATTTAGAAAGGTCCCGCCAAAGTTTAGAATCATAAGGCTTAGAGATTATCTCACGCCTCAAATCTTTACCTCTGCCATACTTGGCTCTCAAAATCTTAACCCAAAGTTCCTCCTTGTCAGTTAAGATTTTCCAAGCCAACTTATGAATATAAGCCTCATTTTGAGTACGCAATCTGATAATACCAAGACCTCCCATTTCCTTCGGCTTATACATTGTGTCCCAAGCCACTAAATGAGCTTTATTAATACCCCAAATGAAGTTCCGTTGAAGCTGTTCAATCTCATCACACACAGAAGTGGGAAGAAGACCATTCTGCATATGAAAAGAGGGAATAGCACCAATAACTGATTTAGCCAGAGTGACTCTCCCCGCAAAAGATAAACTTTGATGCTTCCATCCATCAAGTTTCTTACGAACCCGATCCATTAGATCAGCATAATTTGATTTCAAATTTCGCCCTTGCCTGATAAAAGAGCCCAGATATTTACCAATGCTACTGACTCTTTTGAACCCAGAGAGCGCAGAAATTGCATTTGCAGTTGCATCAGATGTATTGGAAGAGAAATAAAAATATTTTGTTTTACGTTTAGAACGTACGAAAGTTGAATGTAATATTTAAGGCTAGATATTTAAGCTTGCTTTTTAGAATGAAATATCTTTATAGCTTGAAATGTAATACCAAGTTGTAATGCAATATCATCATCATACGAAGTGGTTTAGAACTCAGTTTTGATATCCTTTAATCCGATATCAAACCTTTTTATTTTCCAGTTGAGAAATAGTTTGAAAAAGCCCCATAAATTTTGGTATAAATAAAGGATTTTTTTTATGCTATTTTTTTTTTTTGGTAATCTGAAGGAAAAAACCCCACAAAAACTAAACAAGAGAAATTCTACGCA